GATTGTGGCAACTCGAAAGTGAAGCAGCATCAACTTAAAGAACTGAGGTGTTTCTGTGGTCTCCCTCAGAGATCCACAAGTGACCAGGATGACTACAGCCCCACATCGCAGCCACCTCGTCCAGGCTGCCCCGGGAAATGGGAATAGCCAGTCGACTGCTCGAACAAACTGTTCCCAGGCAGGAGACAGGAGAAGCCGGGCACCCGCTCGAGTTTCTTATCCTACCAGCAGCCCCACATGTTTGACTAAGCAGTTAAACGACACAGCATTTCGCCCCATTCAACCAGCAAAATGAAGTACAGAAAAATAATTTTACTTAATGATAAAAAATAAGCAGAAACTGCTTGGATGCTAGTAACCACAGCTTGCCCTCTTTGTCCAAACAATTCCATGATTAGCATCCAAACACGAACAGAAAGAGGACACAGCTAAAGTTCAGACATTCAGAATGGCCGAACATCTATTAACGTGGGGCCCAAGCTGAGGCCTTTCCCTGGAGCTAGTTCCCATTGCTAGCTCTGAAGTCACGTGGCTCTGGTGCTCATTAATTAATCAGAATTTTAAGCATTTAATTACCTTTAAACAAAAGAGTTACAAATCAATTCACCCCCTCAGAGTTGTCATGAATGTAAACTAGTTCTATTAAACCTAAATTGGTTTTTGAACCAGGCTGTAAACATGTTTATTTCTTCTGTGAAATTGGCATTTTTTTACATGGGAGTTAAAGAGGATTTGCTCACTTCTGGTGCCAGCCCCTAGTGGATGACGGTGGAATTGCCATTTTAGCCACTCCTTCTTGGCTTCAAAAAATGCTGACCAAAATAGCCCCTTGGGCCAGACCCAACACAACACAGAAGCATGGGGCACTGACTCTGATTCAAAAAGCAACAGTTCAAGACTAAGTTTGTGATTTTTCAGGATGCAGTGTTGTATTAAATATCACCCAGTGATAAATCCTTGACCTCTCTCTCCATAGCAGCTTCAGACCCATCTCTAAACTTCCGTTCATCTCCAAGATCTTGGAAAAGGTTGTGGCTAAACAACTCACAGTTGCTCTTGATGAACATAACATCTATGATTTCTTCCAGTCAGGTTTTCGTAGAGCTCATTCTACTGAAACAGCTCTTCTTAGGGTCTCTAATGACCCTCTGACTCACAGTGATGCAGGGGACTGTTCTGTGCTGGTCCTGCTGGACCTGGCTGAGAGACTGGGTAGGCCTATCAGGAACTGCTCTGGAGTGGATCTCCTCTTATCTTTCTGAGCGCTCCTTTTCTGTGGCAGTCTCCAAGTTTAGGTCTTCCACCACCTCTCTTACCCATGGTGTCCCACAAGGTTCTGTGCTGGGGCCTCTGCTCTTCCTCGTCTATCTGCTTCCTCTTCAGCACATCCTGAGCTCTTTCAAAGAAATCTCCTACCATCTTTATGCAGATGACATCCAACTGTACATCTCCTTTAAGCCCCATGAGATGTCTAAGCTGCAGCTGTTACACACCTGCTTAGACTCTATCAAAACCTGGATGGTGGGAGCTTTCTACAGCTGAATGAAGATAAGACTGAGATCCTGATCTGTGCCCCAGACAAGCTGGTTCCCAAAGTCAGAGATTATCTTGGTCAGCTTGTTTCCCACACAAAACCTTCTGTCAGGAATCTTGGCGTGACCTTTGACCCAGCTCTCACCCTGGATTCTCATGTCAGTTCTCTTGTTCGCTCTTCCTTCTTCCATCTCAGGAACATTGCTAAGCTGAGTCCCATTCTGTCCCGCTCTGAACTTGAGACAGTTCTCCACACCTTCATCTCCTCACGCTTAGACTACTGTAACACTCTTTTCACGTGTCTGAGCAGAACCTCCCTGAACCGTCTACAGGTGGTTCAGAATGCCTGTGCTCGGCTTCTGACCAAGTCCTCCAAACACACCCATATCACCCCGCTTCTCCTCCAGCTTCACTGGCTGCCAGTCAACTTCAGGGTTCATTTCAAGATCCTGGTTCTAGTCAAGCACTTGCATTGGTGATCTTCTTAGTCCCTACACCCCCAGCAGGTCCCTGAGGTCCCGAGATCAAAGCCTACTGGTTGTGCAGCGCACCAGGCTAAAGACCAAAGGTGACAGATCATTTGCTGCTGTGGCACCCAGACTCTGGAACTCTCTCCCCCTGAGCCTGAGATCAGTGGACTCAGTGGACTCCTTCAAAAAGCAGCTGAAGACTCACCTGTTCAAGTTGGCTTTTGTATGACCTTCTTCACCACTCTCTCTTTATTCTGCTCTTCCCACCTATTCCACCTTCCTCAGGATCCACTAATTTCCCTCTTTCCTATTCACTCTCTCTCTCTTTCTTAACATTATTTTAATCACAATTAACTATTCTTTGCTCATTTTAAATATATTTTAAACAATTTTTAAATGCTTTTTTATATTTTTACATTTTTTGTTTTTGTGAGGTGCCTCATGATTTTTATCTTGAGAGGCGCTATAGAAATGATATTTTCTTCTTCTTCTTCTTCTTCTTCTTCTTCTTCTTCTTCTTCTTCTTCTTCTTATTCTTATTCTTATTCTTCTACCCTAAACTCACAGATAAATTCTTGTAATGGAAACCTCCCTTCTAGGTTATTCTGGGTCCCTCTAGTCTACAGCATCATGAGTCAGAAGCCGAGTGGTTTCATCCTTTTTGCTTCTCTGTTTCTCAGCTCAGATCCAACACCTGAAGAGTGCAAGCAGCTGGCGAAACCTTTATCTTTGGCCGACCCCTCTGTGGTAAACAACCTCTCATTAATCACTGATTACTTAATTCTATGTGTCAGTCAGAGAAAATTAAGCTTTTCTCCGCTGATTTTTGACATTTCATATGAAACAAATTTAAAAAAGAAAAAAAAAGATGTTTGTGTGGAAGACTGGGGTGATGGCTTTAAAGCTGCAACAGCGAGTCTGCAAAACAAGCTAGTTTTTAAGCACAAACACGGTCTCTGGACTCCTCCCCCTTCCCTAAATGTGTCTCCTACCCCTTCATGTAACATTTATTATAATTCATAAAATTCATATATCTAGCCTCTGATTGGTTAACAGCAATGCAACTCTTCCACTGCCTCCGTTCACTCGTTTCTCTGTGAGCATGCTCTTTAATAGAACATCTTAAAAGTCTTCTCCAACATCCTGGTTTCTGTCTGCAGATGTTTGGCAGAACACACTTGCTTGCATTGTACACGGATCATGATTTCTATAAATCAGTCATTAAGATGACCGACAGCTCCTGGGTTAACATCACAGCGTCTCCATCCAGCAGTTCTCAGGTGCTCCAGACTCAGGAGAACAAGATGTGAGTTTTAATGGAAAAGCTGGTAAAACACACTTTAAGCTCTCACTAATCTGTGATTAAAGCATGTTGCCTCAGTGCATGTTGGTCCAAATAAAAAAATTAGATTTCATCTTTTACAGTGTTTGTTTTAAGTTATAAACATTTTCAGAGCCAAAGATCTTTAAAGAGCAAGTCACCCCCAAATCAACTTTTTTTCTGATAAACTATATAAATGTGTGTCTAATCGTACTGCAGACACGTGTAGTCAACAGTTTTGCACTTTACTGCATTTTAGTTCAAATTTAAATTTTCTGCCTAAAACTGTCAGTGTTGTGCTGTTAAGTAAAAACTCTGCACTGCATTTGAATTTAAATCTGCCATCGCTATTGGCTAAGAGTTACCCTAGAACATTAGCTGGTACAATATGATGTCACAATGTCGTTGTGAGCGTGTGTGTGAGTGTGTGCGAGCGTGTGAGCATGTGTGTGTGTGTGTGTGTGTGTGTGTGTGTGTGTGTGTGTGTGTGTGTGTGTGTGTGTGTGTGTGTGTGTGTGTGTTGTGTGTGTGTGTGTGTGTGTGTGTGTGTGTGTGTGTGTGTGTGTGTGTGTGTGTGTGTGTGTGTGTGTGTGTGTGTATTTGTTAGCAGCTCTGCCCTCTCGGTCTGCTAGGCAACAGCATTTGTTGCATTTTACAAACAGGAAGTGGGAGTGAAGTAAGTTTCTTATAAGGGGTGACCTGCTCTTTAATATTTGTCTTATTTTTTGTATTAAAAAGCACACATTTTAAATGTCTCATTATTTACTATTCCCCAGAAACATGTAAATGTATGAATTTCCTTTTTCTTTTGATATTTTCCCAGTAATGGAACCTGCCTTACTACATTGTTCAACATGACGTTGGACGGCAACACAGTGACATCATTCTGTGAGTTTACTGACCTGATCTGACACAAAGAGCCAAAAGCCTGCAGGTTAAACTCAAAGACGGGCACTAAATGTTTAAACCAGGGGTGTCAAACTCATTTTAGCTCAGGGGCCACATTGAGGGAAATCTACTCCCAAGTGGGCCGGACCGGTAAATAAAATAAAAAAACCTTAAGATTTTCTTTGTTTTAATACAATCAATATAAAACAAGGCTGGAGCCTACGGACAGTGTAGTACAAGTACAACACCTGAAGTGTACTTTAAAATTAGAAAGAAAAAAATCAACAAATAAAAAAAACATTCCTTAGTGATTCAAAGAGCTTACAGATGACATGGCAAGATCAGTTTCATGCAGCACTTAAAAGTATATTTGACTCATTTTACTTTAAATCTTTTAGCTTTCACCGGCACATCAATATCAGAAGTCACATCCTGAGTGGCGGCCAACTTCAGGATGTGATTCAAGTTCTTGTGTGCGCCTTGAGCGCAGCTTTGTTTTATTTATACTCATTACAGAGAAAACTTGCTCACAAAGATAAGTTTATTTTAACTCTACATTGTAAAGTATGAAAATAAAGTTTACACAACCATCTCGCGGGCCGGATTTAACCCGCTTGCGAGCCGGATCTGGCCCGCGGGCTGCATGTTTGACACCCCTGGTTTAAACCATTTGAGTTTTTGATCTACAGATGAAGTATTGTTCAAAATATCAAAACTATTTGTTATAAATAATAAATTCATAAAAATTCCAATTAAAATATTTTTTATAAAATAAGGAATTAAAGACATTCTTTTCTTTAGTTCTTGTAGTTTTGATTATAATTGTAGCCATTTTCCTTTGTATTCAAATATTCTTTTTTATTTTTTGCTTTTTAATTTTTGCTGCTTTCATTACAAGGTCATTTCTCATTTGTTTTTGTTAAAGTAATTCATTTACATTTTTCTCGTTTTTTCATACTCATCTATGTATTTTCTGTATTGTTCACATCTGGGACAATTTATTGGTTCTGTGGGAGAAATATGGGATACCCAGTGAAATCCCATACAGCGTACTGCATGGGTTATTTTTTTATTTTTTTATTTTTTACAAAAGTGTATCTTCAACCCAAAAGAGTAGTTGTTTATTAAATCTGTTTTTTGCATTTGTCTCTAGTTTCGAACGGGAGGTCCGTCTCCCACATCCTGCCCAGTTGTGATGGCTGTCTGGTCTTCATTTCGAACATCACCATCAACCATGTTACTGATGCGGATGAGATCCACACTCGAGCTCTTTATTTCTTAGGTAAGTGAAAACCAGTAAAATAGAAAAACTGACTCATGTGACAGTTGGATTAAACCATTTTGTGTGTTTCTAGGCAGGGAGTCCACCCTGAAGGACTCTGATCTGGAGCATTTCAAAAAGCAGGCGCGCTGCTTCGGTTATTCTGGAGAGCCATACTACCGACACAATCCTGAGAAAGGTCATTCGCTTTTATGTGTTTCCTTTTTTAAAGTGACGCCTACGTTTATTTTTTAGCCTGGATTCGATATCAAACTGACTTTTCTTTGTGTTTCTGCAGGTTACTGTCAGGAGGGTGAAGGCATCAAAGTGCAATACTAACAAAAACTGTTAAACCTGCCTGAGAGACGAATTAAAAAACCAAACCGATTTGTCTGTGTCTAATGCACGATGACTTAAACCAGTAGTTTCAGACTTGTTTTATCAGATATGTCTGAATCAGAGGTCCGTATCGACATTTCTGCAAAGGAACTTCTTGGAAATGTGCAGATAGGAATCACAGATTAGATTGAGATTCAGAGGCTTGTGAAGCGATAATAAAATGGTTGATGATGCAATTTTCTGTCCTTCACTTTAGGATGATCTTTCTTCACTTGTGACTCAGTTATTGATTTCAGTTTGTTCCTGTTGTCCCACTTTGTTCAGCTAGATGCTGGGTACTGTAACATCTGGATGTAACCTCAGTCCAACAGCTGGAATGAAAAATAAGTACCTCCTAAAGGGAAAGGGAAATTGTATTGTACAATGTTAATTTTTTTTAAAGTTATTACAGCCTCTTATAAATTTTTTGAAATAAAGGAATTTTTGCACAATATTCAATATTTCTGAGTTTCACATGTTTGGGTTGTCTGCTTTTCGTTGATCTGGATAAATGTAGAGAGAACTGGCTTCTCAGAAGCATTCTGCAGAAACCATCAAATGCACAAGAGAAACAAGCAAACATGATCCTCAGAGCGCTCCATACTCGAAAACTTAATAGTGCTTAGTTAATTTGGCCAAATAGCATCTTTGTGCAAAAGGAATACTTTATTTACATGCTGGAACTGGGCGGTTGTGAAAATCTGTGTCTCCAGGTGAAGGTGAGGTAGAGGCGCAGCATCGTCCTCATGAGGATGAGGAGTATAGTCATCCATGCTGTCAAGACTTGGCATCCAAAGCCAGCAGACAAACAAACAGAGTGAAGTGCTGTTAGGGATTTTATCAATCACCTAAAACCTGCAGTCGAAGAGAAAAGAGAGACAATTACCCAGACAAGTTACTGTTTGCAAAAAGGGCAGACGCTCAAGCAATGGTTGAGTCTTACAACTGCAAAGAACATCAGCCCTTCAAGTTTATTTATAACATGAGATAAGAAAAGAACAGAAGGTGTGTGTGTGGAAATGAACGTGTGTGTGTGTGTGCCTGAATGGTTACAGGAATGTGTGGGTGTGTCTGAATGAATGAGAATGCTTTCAGGCATAGAGTAATACATTCAGTTAATAGGGTTAATGATCAAGAAAGAATAAAACATTAAATTTCTATAACAAGTTCAATGCCAGGACTTCTGAAACCTGGCAAAGTATCTTTCTTCTCTTTTCTGGTTTTTCATGAACAAAGCAACACCCTGCAAGTTTCATATGTTTCCTACTCAAGTACACCAGAACCAAATAATTAGCTCACCGTCTCACCAAGCTGGGTTCTACAAACACCGGGTAATGTTTCCTTCATTGGAGGTGGTGATCCTTGACTCGGCAATCAACCAAATGGCCCCATCAAACCGTATATAGCAGAGATCACTAATAGGCGGACCTGGGTCCGGATCCGGACCGAAATGCTGTCTGGTGTGGACCCGAGCCTAATGCCAAAATAAAGTTCGCCTAATTTTATAACCGCTTCTGGCCGGTGCAGCTATTGCATTCTTTACGGTAGTATTCTAGCATCCACGAACACCCACAGGCCAATTGTGCGCGAGTTTAGCCAGACCACGTGACACCAACAAGCCAATAACATGTTGCATTCCTGCCAGAAAATACAGGCGATACGTAGCGAAAATAAACGGTTCAGACGCCGGAGAGAAGGAGAGCAGCGAAGAGCAGAAATTCGAACAGAGAAAACAAGAGATTCAGGCGGAGAGCGGTGGAAAGAAGGAGACATTCAGGCAAAGAACAGGAGAGCAGCGACAAGGAGAGATTCAGGTGGAAAGGAGGAGGAATTCAGGCAGAGAAAAGGAGAGCGGCGACATGGAGAGATTCAGGCGGGTGAGACGGAGAGAAGTAAAAAAAGCAGAAATGGCAGCCTCTAAAAAAAGGAAAGTGGACAGCGAAAATAGAGCATTTAATCCAGAATGGACAGAGTCATTTCTCTTTGTTCTTCCCACTGGTGGCACAAAACCTGTTTGTCTCATATGTTCAGAAACAGTGGCACTTATTAAAAGTGGCAATGTGAAACGCCATTATGAGACAAAACACAAATGTTTTGAAGAAACATATCCCCTCAGATCAGAAGTAAGATCAGAGAAAATACGTAGTCTCAAAGCCCAATATGAACAGTCCACCAGGATCCTGAGCCACACGTTCACTGCTCAGCAACGAGCCCATGAGAGTTCCCTCAGAGTTTCTTGGATTTTGGGTCAGCACAAAAAACCATTTACTGATGGAGAGGTTGTCAAAGAGTGTATCACAGCAGTTGCTGAAACACTGTTTGAAGGAAAAGAAAAACAAGAAGTTTGTGAAAAAATAAAGCAAATCCCCATATCAGCATCATCTGCTACAAAGAAAAGTGAAATACTGACTCAGGATGTTGTAGCCCAGCTAGATGAAGCCATACAGAAGGCACCATGTGTAGGTTTGGCTGTGGATGAGTCCACTGATGTGTGTGATAATGCTCAGCTGTTGGTTTATGTGAGGTTTTATTACGCAGAGCAGAAAGCATTCTATGAAGACCTGCTGGGTATTACTCCTCTTCAGACCAGCACAACAGGAGAGGACATCTACCTGGCCATTATGGAGATGTTGGCAAAGAGAGGAATTGAGCCTACAAAAGTGATTTCAATAACTACAGATGGAGCCCCTGCTATGATAGGGAGAGAAAAGGGAGCTGTAACAAGAATGAAGAAAGACAATCCTGACCTCTTAACCTACCATTGCATTATTCATCAATCTGTCCTCTGTGCCTCCCTGACAGATGAGCATGCTGAGGTGATGACTTCAGTGATGAAAATGATCAACTTTCTTAGAGCGTCCTCTTCCTACCAGCATCGCATGCTTAGAGAATTCCTCAAAGAAGTTGATGCCAATGCTGATGGTCTTCTGCTGCACAACAATGTGAGATGGCTCAGCAAAGGCAGAGTTTTAGCACGCTTTTGGGCCATTAGGAAGGAAGTAGCATCTTTTTTGGCAGAGCTAAAACATCATAAGGCAACATAGTTTTCTACATTTCTAGGAAATGAGAAGCAGATGGACAATGTTGCCTTTTTGGTTGATATAACTTCACATCTAAACGAACTGAACTTGAGGCTACAGGGCAAGGACAATTCCATTTGTGAACTAATGACAGCTGTCCGTGCCTTTCAGAGAAAACTTGAAATGTTCAAGGAGGACTTGCAGGAAGACTGTGTCCACTTCCCAGCAGTGCAGGAACAGGTTCAGGGACAGCGAGATGTCTCGTCGTTTGTTGTCTTCATTGATAAGCTTATTGCTAACTTCAGCAATCGTTTTGATAGCTTCAGCATTGGCCAGCAGCTCACCATGTTCATTCAGAACCCATTCCTCATCACAGATGTCAGGAGCTTCTCAAAGGAAGCCACACAGCATTTTAAATGGGTCAATGCCAGGGATCTTCAGATGGAGTCAGTTGACCTCCAAGCAAACTTGGCCCTGAATGAACTGTCTGCCAGGACTGACCCTTCCTCATTCTGGCTCCAAATGGTTCCTGAGACAGCTTTCTCAAGTCTAAAGAAAGTAGCCCTGTACATCCTGACCATGTTTGGTTCCACCCTCAACTGTGAGGCAGCGTTCTCCACAATGAATATTATAAAAAACAAATATCGTTCCAGGCTCACCAATGAGCATCTCCACACATGCATGAGGATGGCTCTGTCTCCATTCAAGCCCAGGTTCAAAATGTTGGCAGGACAAGCAAGAGCTCACTTCTCTCACTAAGTAGAAATGTGGAAAACATTAACCTAAATATATGTTCAGTTATTACATGTGTGCAGAGTCACATTTTTAAAAATCATTTTAAGACTTTTTAGTTCGCACGTGAAGAGGAAAAATGTAAAAAATTAAGCTTTTTCTACAATTATTCTGAAGTTAGAAGTTTGTGAAGATTCAGTTGCCATGTGATATTTTCTTGTTGACACTTTTTCTACTTTTATTTAGTAAATGAGAGAACATTCTAAATAAATCATTTACATGTTCAACACTTTAAGTGACAATAAATGTCATAAGTATTTGAATTACACTGAAGTATTTCTGATTTGATATGCAAATTAATAATACAGATGTTGATAAAACTGCTAGGATACTTAAATACATGTCACACTATTGTAGGTTGGACATAATGATCTTTCGGACCTTGGGCTAAAAAAATTCTTTCTGACTGGACCTTTTTAAATAGTATTTGTATACCCCTGGTATATAGAAAATCTTCTGTTTTCAAAATATGATTCATTTACCCATTCTTTCTTTTTTTCATTGAATCTGATGTGGTCTCTTCAGTGACTTGTCATGCAAGATAAATTAGGTGGTGTGTGTGTGTGTGTGTGTGTGTGTGTGTGTGTGTGTGTGTGTGTGTGTGTGTGTGTGTGTGTGTGTGTGTGTGTGTGTGTGTGTGTGTGTGTGTGTGTGTGTGTGTGTGTGTGTGTGTGTTGTATGACTATACTTGTGAGGACGTACCCTTGACAAACGACCTTTATTGTGAGGACATTTTCCTTTGTGAGGACATTTTTCCATGTCCTCACCAAATTTTGCCTTAAATCTTCTTTAATTACACTCAAACGTGTTCTGACAAAGTTTCAGAAAAATACCTCAGAAAAACAGTAATTACTGAAATGTGTATTTTGGCATCAACTCTTGAGCTCACCTAGTGGACACACACTAGTACTGCAGCTCTGGATTTGAATTTTTTGCTCCAATTTTCTGATTGGCTGAGGCCATGGATTTTTCTGATTGGCTTTTGTAGTTATGTGACCTGCCTGACAAGTAAGTGAAATGAAATGAAACTTAAAAACTACATGGATTTATAAGTTTAGACAAAATATTTGAAATTGATTTTCAATTAACATTTAATTCAAATGAATAATTCTGCTCCTTGTATTCATATAAAATAAAAATAATTACAAAATAATAAATTCAAATTCATTGTTAAATTATATTAAATAATACACTATAGCCAATATAGGCTGTAAACTCTGGCCCTTCTGAATGAGACAGCAATTTGAAACTTGACTACGTTGGAGCTGTCAGCTATGTAAAGACCCAGTTAAAGTTTG